TGCCCACATTCTTCCAAGGAAGAGATGATGACAGAGAGAAACATCACACCACTCCTTACAGCATTAATCATGGCTGACTTGTCCTGCTAATGAAAAAAAACCTACTTCTTCTGTCTCTTGTTCCTTCTCATATTTAGCCAACTACTTGCCTTGGTGGATATGAACACTGAGCCCAGATAACAAATAAAGTAAATCCTTAGTTTGGAATAGTTTGGAATGGCTTCTTTGGAATAGCTGAAAGTAAAGCTGTACTGTTTGTTTATTTGTTTGTTTTTAAAGAGCTGCAACTCCACTCTCACAAAGACCAATTTTAAAAATGCTGTTGACCCAGGTGTATGGTAACCCTGTAAGGATTGTACTGAGTAAACCAGTAAGTTCATTATCACACTGAAGGTAGAGGAAAAAGTGGTTCGGTTTTGGTGGTGGGTTTTTTTGTTTTTCTCTTTTTTTTCCTTCTTTTTTTTTTTTTTTTGGTGGGGTTTTCTTGTCTTTTTTTGGTTTTTGTTTGTTTGTTTTGTTTTGGTTTGGTTTTTTTTTTGTTTTGTTTTTTGTTTTGTTTTTCTTGTTTTGGTGGGTAGGGATTTTGTATTGGAATATCTATGCATTTTCTGCCCATCTCTCAAGTTCAAATCTGTCCAGGGATTACCAGCATGATTCATAACATTTTGGGTGGATCTGGGTTAAGATCTCCATTACAGACTGAAAGGAAATAGACACAGCCCAGTTCATGGGTGCTTGCACACAAACACCGTCCATGTCCACATATGTTAGGAGTCCCCTAGTCAGTACAAATGCCCAGCCTGAATAGTCCTGCACAGCCCCGGAGGAATAAGGCACAGCAGTGCTGCAAGAATTGGATCTGGAGAAAGAGGGATGCTTGAGAGACCCACATGGAAAGCCACTCTGACCAAGACAGCATCTAGTCTAGACCTTTCTCAGCAGATCTTTGTCTAGTTCACACTGAAAAACTTTACGCACTGGAGTTCCTCTGACTCCTTTGATCTCCTTCAGTGCCAAACTGCCTTCCAATTGTTTATGAGGAGAGGAGACTCTTGATGCTGTCTTTCAACTGTTTTTGCTATGGGAAATGTTCAGAAGATGGAGTCAGACTGTTCTTGGAGATGCTCAGTGGGAGCAATGGACACGAGTTGCAGTTGAAATCCATACCAGCTCTTAGAAGAAGAGTTGTTCACAGCAAACATGGTCACCTGCAGAACCAGGATATAGAGGCTGTGGCCTCTCCATTCTGATAGATACTCAAATTGTAACTGAAAAAAAGCCCTGAGTGACCCAACCTGACCTCCAACTTAGCCCTGCTTTAAGCAGGAGAGGGACCAGAGCCTTTCAGTAATGCCTTTCAGTATAAATTATCCTGTGGTACTGTATTTTTACGATGATGTTCTTATGATTAGAAGGTTTTTGGGTTGTTTTTTTGTTTTTGTTTTCTTTATATGTGACTGAATTGCTGAAAAATAAGCCAATTTCTGGAAGACCATTACCTTGTTCTTCTTCAGTGTGCTCTTCTCTATGGTAAACAATTGCTGGCTCAGTACAAATCCTGTTTGGGGTTAGCTAAGGTACCGCCAGGAAACTCCAGGCTTCAGTCCAAATGACCACTTCAGGAACTTCTTTTGCTTGAATCAGTCCTGCTGAGAAATAGTGCAATCTACTATAGGAAAGAAGTTCTCCTAAAATCTCCTAGACTTCCAGGAACCAGATGCCCTCTGTGCTTGGTTCTGAACTGTTAATGTGAGTTCACAGTTCCAGTTCAGATCATGATCATGCTGCAGAAAACCCCTCGAGCCATATAAAGTGCATGCTACAGTAGCAATACAGAATGATGGCACTGTCCCCAGGCAAGACGCAGCAACTTGAGCTGTGCCTATCCAGGTCAAGTGAAATGCCCTGTCCACTGGAGGGGAAGCCATCGTGGCTTTTTCAGTATGCAGGATGTGAGCTCAGGGCAATGCCAGAGTTATAACTCAACTCTTTAGTGAAAACAAACTCTTAACTTAGCAAAAGCATTCGTCCTCCTAGAAGCATTCAATCTAATGAAGGTGTCCCTACTCAGGGCAGAGGCTTGGAACTAGATGTTTTTTAAGATCTCTTCCAACCCAAACCATTCTGGGATTCTGTGAAAACCTCATAACAGTTTAGAAAAAAAGCTATGGATGGCTTTCCATGCCAGCTCCCTGTTCAAGTGATCTATGGCCTACAATATGCCATGAAACCAGAGCACTTCATAGGCTTCCTTAAAGACAGGGATGGACTACTGTGACTGTCCTTTCTGAGCAGCATATCTGTTCCTTTAAAGCATCACCACTCCTGAAATAAAAACAAACCTACTTTTAAGGGAGTGAGACCTCTCCTTTTCTAGGAACACAAAAAATGTTTTGGCAGAATCATGCTTTGACAACTTTGGATTTACAAACGTCAGAAGTAAATTCTGATTATTTATTTTAGATAAATAATGAACAGCATAAAAACTGCTGACTTTGACCTTCATTGGAGAAGTTGGTTTAATGAGCCCCATAAACTCTTCTATTGATGGCAGGTTCATAAAGTCCATATTGACTTCCGCTAAAGGCTATAACTTCTATCAATACTGTCAACAATTAATATTGGCTCATAAAGGCATCCTGTAAACTGAGTCATAGCATCATGTTACTTTACATTGCCATTAGCAAAATTTCATGTCTTCTTGAAAATGTTTCTTCTATAAATCTGAGATTTCTCAAAATAGCCTGTGTGATAGCTAGCAGCCCAGAGAAACACTACTTATGTGGAGTGGGGAGGGAGGAAATGCCTTTACGTTCAGCAGAAAAAGCTTCTGAGAGGATCTCAGGCTTCATTTGCTCCTACAGCAGGTCTCAGGCTGTGAGGAGTTTGTGCATAAAGGTTTCTAACACCTTTATCTGTGCCAAGCAATTACAAAAGAAAATGCTCAAATTCTGCCTTCTTAAAAGACTTTTCCCTAACCTTCTTTTCTTTCTACCTTGCAACATTTGTTTGGATACATTTATGCCACCAGTTAACTGCAGTCCCTATATTAAAGTGAACTTTTTCTCTATTCTGGACCAGTTTTTCTGACCTGAACATGGTCTGATGTCTGTGACATCTTCCCAGGAAAGCCTAAGCATCAGGTGAAGCTCACCACCAGCACAGTTTGGATCTTAATATTTTCTTTCAAGTTCCACCATCTCTTTTTTGTCAGTATGGACAGTACTATTGCATACTGGACACCACAGCAATCTATGTTTTATTTGTGCTATAAAGACTTTTGGTTTTAGTATGATACAGCCTTTCTCATTCAAAACACCCAACATCTAAGACTGCAAATGCCTAGGCTCCAAGGAAACTCCTACGTTTATACAACACTCTATGTTCTCCACCTCTCGTTTCCCTTTTTCTAGTTGCTATGAAGTGATGGTTCAACAAATGGTTAGTGTGACATTAAACTTAAGGAAAGAGGAATTGAAGGCTGTCTCCAACCTGACATGAGTCCTACTCCCTCTGTGATTACTTCCAGTAAAGCCTTTCAAGGCATGTGAAGTTGCTAATGTGCTGTTTCTAATATAATTTCATTTGAAAGTGATCTGTAGGTACAAAGTTGGATTTGCAGATGTAGAGATAGCAGGAGAAAAGACTCCCACAGATAATGCAATTCTTCTCTGTTAAGACCACAGTGGGTCTCAAAATTCTTTATACTGCTTTTCTTAGTAGGCATGGAAAGAAAAAAATGTATGGGATAAGATTGCAGCTGCTCATACATCACATGGAAAGCACAAAAGAGAGCCTGGAGAGAGGAGAATGGGATGGAAGTGCTTGCTTTTGGCTGTTTTCTAGCAATTTCTTGTGAGTGTGCAAAACTTTAATTGACCCTGATGATCCCTCTGATTTTTCATCAAGACACAAGGATCAGAAGGAAAACAATGTAATCTGTCACTGTGTGTCTGCTTGTAAGACACTACACTAAGAATCGTAAAAAAGTATGGTAAAGATAATTTTAAAAGATTCTTCTGTACATCCTTTGAACAGAAGGCCATTTATCTTTGAACTCTGCCTAATATATCATTATCTCCGAGTAGAAACTTAATAAGCTTCAACTGTAATTTTGTTGGAGTTAAACATAAAATCATGTGGGTGGTGTATGTCTCACTGTCATGGCTTCCAGAGGAAAACTTATCATCATTTGTCACTATAATACTGTGGCAAAAAGCATGAAAAGAACAAGTGATACAGTCATTTCACATGAGCTTTCTGCGCTGAGCACAAGTGCCCAATGACTTGTACGCAGCAGCTATATCAAGAAGCAGGCTGTGCTATAATTGAATTAAAGGTGCAAAGGCATATAGGACTGGATGAACTTCTGGGTCAAGTTGCAATTGAATCAAAGTCTCCTCTCCTTCTCCTACACTGCTTGGCAGAACTGCTGACCAAAAGGTTCGCAGACCTACAAAAGGCATGCAGGAATCCCCGCAGCTGGGGACACAAAGTTACAGAGATAAAAAAAATCTGTGACCTTCAGCTTTTATTTCGCACAAAGAAAAAGCTTCTAAAAATATTTCGCCATCGTTTTCCTTCAGAGAGCAGTCAGCCAATTTACATAAATGAAGCGGCCCCTGTCAAGGAACCAGCAAGGAAGAGAAGAAAATTATCTGCCCAGAAAATCTGAGCAAAGATAAGAGTAGCATCGGCCAGAGGAGGGGAGGTTTAAATGCCTTCCCTCTGAAAGGTTGCTGCAAAAAGCAGGGAGAGTATTACAGCTATTTAATGATCTCTGTCGCAGTGATAAATAAGTAGGAGCTTCTCCAGCAGTTCATTAACAAAGACTCTGTAGGACAGTAAAAAGGCCACGACTGGGGCTGTTAGAAGAGTGTTTTCATGGAGTCTGATAAAAAACCCCATCACTAAACCAAGGAAAATTAAGGTGGAGTAGTAGGAAGAGACATTTGTTATAGAGCTCAAGGCTGACACTTGCATGCATTGTCACCACTTACCAGTTTCAGTATTCTCATGCTCGGTGTCGGTGAGGGTGAGGTTGGAGTTGGCCCGGCTTGACAAGCAGGAGCTGCGCCCGGACTTGGTGTTGCGTCCCCAGAGCCTCACTGGGTGCTCAGGTGACATGACCACATCTGCTTCCGTGTCAGCATCCGAGCCGGCGCTGATGGAGTAGCCACAGTGAGGCAGCCCGATGTCGGTCCGGTACAAAGCCCCGTGTGTGGGTGTCACATCTTCGAGTCCCAGTTCTCGCAAAGAGAAGTTGGCTCCTGTGAGAAAAACGCATCAGCTGGGTTATTCTTTAACAGGGCACGGTGCTATATGTAGCACAAGTCAAGAGCGGAAGTGTTCATCCTCTACCTTCATGTGGGGCACAGCATCATCACAGTAACACACAGCAACATTATACCAATGATACCTTTCTTCTGTGGTCTTGCTCAGTGTGAGACCAAGAGACCACAGAATCATAGGATCATTAAGGTTTTAAGATCATCAAGTCCAACCATTACTCAGCACATCCAAGTCCACCATGAGACAATGTCTCTAAGCATCTCATATACACTTTTTTTTATAACAATTGAAGAGATGGTGATTCCTCCACTTCTGTAGGCAGCCTGTTCCAATCCTTGACTACTCTTCCACTGAAGAAATTTCCAATCTCCCCTAGTGTCACTCGAGGCCATTTCCTGTTGGGTTATTGCTTGTTACTTGGGAGAAGACAATAGTCCTCACCTCATGACAACCTCTTTTCAAACATGCCAAGACTAAAAAGCGGCTGGATTCCTGTTTCTGGAACCTGACAAAAACTCAGGGCATATTCAATGAAATCATCAAGTTTGAAAGCAAAAACGGATGTAGAAATGGTGCAATACTTTAGGAGAGGTAAAAAGCAATCTTCTTGTGAGAAAAGCAAAATAAGGCATGCAATGATCAAAAGTCCTACCATACACCTGACAACTTCCCTACAATAGGCAATTTGAGTGAGTTCTGCTCATTGAAATCCCTGAAATTACATATTGGGGATTTAAATTTCCTTTGGCGATTTCACTTTCCCCATGCTGACCACTCACACTTTGACTCACATTTAGCTATTCATTCTGATAGAGTCGCAGCAGAGGTTATTTGGCCGCAAATAGATGCAATTGTTTAGCTGACTAAAAATATGACCTGAAAAGTGACTCTTGACTCCATGTCTAGTTACCTGCAGAGCTTTGAAATCAGACTGAATTGATGTGAATAAGGCTTCAAATATTAGTACACTTTGTTTGGAAAGTTCCACAAAGAGGCAGGGGAGAGCAATTTTAATCCACACTTATTTATTAATGCATGCATTTACTTTTCAACCCTGAATATCTTGAAAAGATTTTGGCCACCCATGAGTGCCTTTAGCTGCACAGTGCATTTATACAGCTTAATGCACCCCTGCTTCTGTTATGCTATGCCTTGGATGGATTAAAGAACTGAGCAGTTTGCAGCTCAGGCATATTTCAACAAGATAAATCTGAATGCATGATCTCCAGGAAATTTCAGGCACAAACCTTCTTTTGAACACTGAAGTTCATAACTACTCATTATTGAAATCTGTTCATCAAGGCTGGATCTCAAGGTTGTATCCAAAACTGAATTACTATCTTCTCCTTTCTCAAGACCCCACAACTGTGTGGGTTTCCTATTTGTTGATGTCAAATATCATATGGTAGAAAATGTGTATCCAACAGAAATAGTCAGTTTTCTAATTTTTCCAGAGTATGGTTTCATACTTGTGGAAACATCCTAGCTTGTCCTTGAACCCTGATGACTGGGGAAGGTCTCTCATATTAGAGCACACATGCCTCAGATGACAGGTGGCCAAAAGTAGGTGCTATTTTACTACATTTTTTCATTCAGTTGACTTTATAGCTCACAGTGAACAGAGAGGAGATATCTGAATGCAAGGTAAATAGTGGGGCTAGACAACATTTTCATTTATAGGTCAGAGAAGGAGCTGCTTGATGGCAGGAGAAAATTCTGGTTCAGCTGGTTACGGATCTGCAGATGACAACACTCCAACTGCATAAAGGATTCATTAACTTCACACCTTTTTAATTGACCAAACAAGATTAAAGCTTTTAGACAGAGTGGACAGAAGAGGTTGCTTGGGGCTCACACCTCTGTCCGACCCTTGCTTGGGAAGCACAGTGCAAGCTTGTGGCCAAGTAATCCATTTAACATGATTACAAAGTGGTTTGAGAGATTGTCCTCCACATTCTCATGGCATAAGGAAGCAAATAAACTTGACCTAAGTTATAAATACTAGGAAGCAGTATCTCCCCAGAGACCTTGGTCTTCTCTTCTAGTTTTGACTTATGTATAAGTCAAAACTAGACTAAACCATCTAAACCATCCCTTATGGAGTACTGAAAAATATCTTTTGGTTTTCCTTGTGTGTTTGAGTGCTGATGCCTAGCTCCACCTTTGCCTGAAAGAAGCCACACTCAGCACCATCAGGCACATCAATGTGCAGCATGACCGATGCTCTCCAGCAACAGCAGCTCATAAATTATGAAAAATGACTGCTACAATTAACTCAAAATCAAATTTATTTGCAATAAACAGCAGCAGATGCATTGATTTTCATATTCTATGCTCACTGTTGCCTTTTAAGCTGGAAGAACTCAAGTCAATAAAAGGAGGATAATAAATATCCAAGACTTTTTAATTCAGATCTGGACTATTTTCTCCTGTGCTGACTTGCACATTTGCTGACACTCACTCTAGCTAAAACCATTTAAATGCTGACTTGTTTATTTACTGAATTTATTTGGTCAATTTGAAATGTTTCCCTCCTCTGCTTTCCAAACCAATGCAGGAGAGAAATTCACTTTGCCTTGTTGATGTCAAGCAGGCTAATAAGGCTTGGTTTCAGTTGGCCTGAAGCCAAGCAGCATCACAAAGAGAGGTCCATTCATGGCTTACTGCCAGTGGAAAATGTGGCACAGAAAGCCTGGGATAATTGTTAACACTCTTCAGGCCAGTTTTGGAACCTTCAGGATAAACTGGGAGAAAGCTTTAAGTTGAGCCATTTGTAAGAGTTATATCAGAAACAGAACTGGTGCTCTGACATGGTTAATCTTAACTTTTCAATGAATTTCAGCTACTTTGACCAATCATTTTTACTATTTCTCAGTACCTTCAAAATTTTCCTAGGGAAGCATGAGCTTGTATAGAAAATTTACACTCCCTGTCATCAGACTGGATTTTCAAGAAAAGTAATCCTTTGTGGACTTCTTAGGAGAAGTCCATAGATCTGCATGGCCTCATGGACCTCCAAGTTGAAAACCGCTGACCTGGACTAATTCACATCTATCCTGCATGGTGAATATATTGTATGAAGTAGGCAAATGCAATGACCTAAAAAGTTTCCTTTTCTTTATAATGCCATACATTCCTTAGAAGGGATGAAGTACTTCAGAGTTGCTAAGAGGGAAACTGCTTTCATCATATCACAGTGTTACTTACATCAGCTATTGGCCCTTTTGTTGATTATTGCCTGTTGCAGTTAGTCTGAAACTCAAACAACAAAGCCATATGCATGAAGCTACTTCAGCAAATAATTTTGCTTGTGTGTGCCTTGAAGATGGGTCTTGCACCAAAACCACACGTGCATGATTTTTGAGGAGAAATCAAGCAGCCCCCAAGTTTAATGAGTGTAATTATATGCATTCCTTTTGGGGAATCAGCTTCTCTAAATTGCAGAGGATGTGCTAAGAGTACTCTGGGTCAGCTAGTTTATGTCCATTTTCTGGAATGCTGCCTACTCTATTTGATTCACTTTACCATTTTATGCTTTTCTTGATGGACTTCTAGAAACAATTTATGTGAAGTCCTGGTTGGAATCTGAACTACATCTCTACAGAAAAATGAAGATGGGTCTTATAGTAGGGAACAGAAATCTACCTCATACAGGCAATAACAGCAGTGAAAACTGTAACTGCACTGGCTTCAGGGTATCTGGAATCTCTGTAAGAACTGTGGAGTCTGCGGTGACTCTTGAAACTTCACATCTTCACAGATACGGGGACTCAGATTACTAAATGGGCTCCTAAAGAGGTTCCTTAAAGTCCTAAAGAGGTTCCTTACTCCTTTAACATTGAAGCATGTCCCCAAGGTAACCCTAAAGCCTGCAGGCCATGTACAATGCCAAGAGGAGTCATTCTTGTGGAGCTCAGTTGTCTCCTTTCTTCCAGGGTTCTTGGGTTTTGCTGTAGACCAGATGGACAGTGTGGACAGTGACAACTCTCCACTTGCTGCCTCCTGCCTCAGCATCCTCATTGACTTCCTTCATGACAGAGCAAACATGTGACACAGTTCCTGAGCAGGCAGGAACATTCCATGCCATGTCAGTACAGTATGGCATGTGCACAGGGGATTCTAGTCTCATGGTGAGAAGTGGCAAAGTGCTGCTGCAGACAGAAAGACTAAGACGTAGAAAATGTGTCTTAGTAAGTGTAATGAACATGGGATATGGGTGCACCACTTAAGGACACTGGGCTGCACAGTATCTTGTACAATACAATGAAGGTGATCTCTGCTGCTCTCTTTAAATCTCTCTTACATCTTGCTTTTGGCCTCAGAGTCTTTCAAAGGTAGCCTCCCACCCAGCTCTGGCTCCCAGCTGATTCCCTCATGCTGCTTACAGCTGCATCTGCTGAGAAGCACCCACCTGCTCGGCAGAATTCATCAGTCTCCTGGTGCACCATGTCTTTGACCCGATTGTTGTAGGTCAGCCTGGAGTCTTGATCATAAGCCTTCAGGGTCTCGCTGGAGCTGTAGGACTTCTGGGGTGCTTTGCTGTCCTCACTCTCAGCTGAAGAGCTGGTGTAGCGGCGCTCAGTGTCGCGGCGCCGAGTCAGAGATCGATACGGCTTCCTTTCTTTTACATCCATGGCACCCTTGTCTGAATATTCAACATTAAAATAATGACGTCTGTGTGGCGGTCAGATTGGAATAACCTGAAAGAGAAAATTAAAAAATGTCATGCCTTTGGGCACTCAACGGCTAATTTGCCTTCTTTATACATTCTTACACTGCAGAAAAGGGATGTTACTTAATGGATTGCAGAAAAACCCTCTTAGAACAATTACCAATAAAAAATAAGTCTCAATTATGTGTGACTCATTTAATAATTGCCACTGCTAACAGGATACATATATGCAGCAACCTGCATCTGTCTGAACTAGGCATACACTTGGGAATTTGAAACTGATTGTGATATTGTGTGTCTTCTTTCAATAGGAAATGATTCAGACACCTTGAGGAGGCATGTATTCAACAGTCACCTAATCTCTTGGAAATCAGGTAATGCTGAAATGTCTGTATTTGGGCAACTGGAGGGCTTTGGAAAAATGCTGTCCTGTGGTTTTAAAAATATTTCCACAGATCACAAGGTTAGAATGTATGGCCAAAAGACTGAGATGGCATAAGAAGGCAAGTTTCGGGAAGGGAGAGGGAGAAAGGAAGAATGAAGGAGTGAGATGTGGATAGAAATTGCATAAAAATGTCTTCCTTTTCAGAGGGTTCATCTTTACTCAGCTGGAAATATATTAGACCTTAAGCAGAGCTGAGAAAGTGTAAATAAATGATAGTGTTCTGCTTCATGTAACAACATGGCCTGGGATTCATTTCTGTGGAAAAACCAATGTATATATGCACTGCAATACAAGCATACATATCTGCACACAGAGAAAACAGATATCAGAAATAAAACATATTAAAAGAATTTTTGTCAAATTAACTAATAAATGGTATTTTTACTTCAAGTTTATTAAATGTGACAGAAAACACAGAAAAAATAAAGGCAATTACTTCATCAAGATGGAAAAACATGGTTTTTAATATCTGAACTTGTTTATGAGGAAAAATAATGATAAAATACACAAACTAAACATAGAAAATCTGTAATTATGAGCTGAGCTTCTCAGAAACTGAATCCTCCTGACTGCTAAAGAACAGAAGTTGATTCTCTAAATGCCACTCCAGGATATTGTTGTTTACCATCAGCATTTAAAAACGGAAAGTGAAAGGTTCAGAAAGAACCTATCAGTTCTTGGTCTTTTTCACAGCAAATACATATGGAAATATATGGCAAAAACTGAATCACATTCAGCTGGCATTTCTTTCTTGAAAAGCTAAACCCTGAATGTACCAATGAAATCTTACTCGTCCGTGACTCAGTTCCCAGCCCTGCTTCAGATGCTGGAATTTCAGAGAATCATAGAATCCTAGAATGGTTTGGGTTGAAAGAAACCTTGAAGATCATTTAGTTCCAACCCCCTGCCATGGGCAGGAACAGCTTCCACTAGACCAGGTTGCTCAAAGCCCCATCCAGCCTGGCCTTGAGTACTGCCAGGGATGGGGAAGCCACAGCTCCTCTGTGCAACCTGTGACAGTGCCTCACCACCCTCACAGGGAAGAATTTCTTCCTAATACCTAATCTACACCTGCCTTCACACTGCTATGGTGCAGTAGTCGAGGATGGATGTGCTGTGAGCTTTGTAGGTCAGTTTAAAGGGATGTGGTGTAACCTAGCATTTGTGGGTTTTAAAACTGAGGGGTTTTAAACTAAGGATGTGTGAAGGATGGAAGACCCCTAGCACAGGTTCTGGTAACCTACAAATCACAATAGAAATGCTGAAGCCTGAAGACAACATTTTATTAATAATTTCTTGATTGAAAAGTTGTCTGGCACAAGCACAACTAAAAAAATACTGTTGAAGACAGACTGCAGGAGGAAGCAAGAACGACAGGAAGGCTGTGAGGTAAACTGGCAGCTGGGCAAAGAAGAAGCAGGGTTACACTCTTGGGACTCTTGTGGGGTCAAACCATGACACACTCCTATTTCTGCAATTCTGATTGTGCTAGAACTGCTGAAGGGTTTTGTCCCTTTAACCTCCAAAACCCACTTTGCAATGACAGGCCCCAAATCCAACATCTTGTATGGCTTCTGTAGCATTCTTCCTGGGAATTAAGGCACTACTATGACAAAAAAATAAAATAAAATTTTAAAAAATTCATTGTCTCCAGTCTATTCCAGAGACAGTGGCAGACCAAGTTCATACATTCTGTTTGTCAGCAAAATGCATAGAAACTATTGAACACTTAGGGAGGGAGAGCAGAAAGGAGGAGTGTCTTTAACAAGCTTTACCTAAGTCTTCCACAGAGATTTGAGCACCACTTTGTCTTCAAACATGTTTTTAAACCCACCAAACTCTTTGACTTAAATTCATTCAGGTAAATGCAATACAGTGAATGCAAATGGGATTACTCACTGGCCAAAACAGACATGTTAAATGTATTGCAGAGTAAGGGTACAAAACTAAGGACTGCATGTAGAAGCAATAGTGAAGGAGATTGCATTGAGCTATAGAACAATAGCAGCATGCAAGAGATCTACCAAATATTGGGAGATTTTTTGCTTTGAATCAAACATATTGGTGCTTTCACACCAGAAAGAAATAAAAGAAATAGAGCACCTGATTGCCTTTCAGTGCACTGCCATCTCCCCTTTTTTTAAAAATGCTTTTTTTGTCTTGAAAAATTGTCACTTTTTTTACACTTGGTATTGAATCTGTTTGTCTCCTTTATAGCATCTCTGTTTGAAAACCTTAGAAGGAGCAGGTTTGTTATAGTTTTGAATATAACACCTTAAAGCAGGCTCCTTCACAAAAGCCCAGTGTTGAGAGCTGCTAATGAACACTGAAATTGTGGTTTATTGTTATGGGGGATGAAGATAGCAGAATGTGAGTGAGAAGTGGTTACTCTTTAAGAAAGAAACGAGGAAAGGTAGTTTCTGTCTGCTCCCAAGCACTGTAGCAATTCCTGTCTAGGGCTGGTCCTTTAAAAACCCTCTAGCAGGAGAGTAACATGTGCCAAGGAAGCCTTTTTGCACTGCTAGAGCCACAAGGTACAAACAGGGTCTGTAATTACCATTAGTAACCTTGCAACTTAGGAAATGACAAAAAAACCATGAGGAAATTGACTGAATTCCCACCAGATGAAGGGTTTTCTTTTTGTAAGGAAAGGTGCTGAAAAACTGAAAATTCTCCTACAGTTCATCAAAAATAGCCCTGTAAATTTGCACCATCCATATGCACATTCCTCTGTAACAGTGTTCCTATTCCCAACTCATTCATGTCCTTATAAATTTAACTCTTCTCAACTTTTTTTTCTCTCTCTCCCTCACAACTTGGGTTGACTTTTCAAATAGAAAGGTTACCTCCATAAAACATAATGAAGATTTTTTTTAAGCTATTTTAAAAGACTGAAGTGTTGCATTTACCTGGCTTAAGTAAGTTTCCAGCACTTCTCAGTGGACATGCAGTTCTTGTCATCTCAGTTTTATGGTCCAATTCCCAGATGGTTTAGATACCTTACTTTCAATGGAATTGTGTTGTCAGAGAGTTTGCCTCATAGCTTTTCTGTGGTGGATTATTATTTTTCATCTGCTACTCCTTGTGTCTAGATTTTACTTTTGCTACAATTTCATCTTTGCCACCAACACCTCACATTTTTCCTGACTTCTCTGGCACATGACAAACACAAAGGATCACACTCGTCTCAGTTACATACTCAACCACCAGTTTCTTTCCGTCTTTAGTTCATGATTGCTCCTCATAATTTTAAAAGCTCCCATAAACTTGCTGGACTGGATGTAAGAAACCAGGCTTTCTAATACAGACCTTTCCATCTCTGTGTTCATTCTCCCTCTATAACAGCACAAAACCCTTCTGCTCTGAATCATTTATATTTGGAAAGGGCGTTCTTGTCCTATAATACAGTGTTTCTAGTTCTGTTTGTTTCTTTCATCATACTGCTGTCTGCATAACATATAAATTTTCACTTTTTTTTCCTTTTTTAAATTTTTACTTTAAGGCCAATTAGCTGCAATAGCCATTCCTATTTTTGGCAGCCCTCTGTGTATGGGGGTCCAATCCCAGCTGGACCACAAACTGGTCTGGAGTGCAGCTCACAACAAAAGCATCCTTCTGTCTTTACTTATTCTACTCAGAAAAATCCCACTGACCACAGAAAGGGTTACTTGGAAGTAAAAGCCTGTAAAATCAGATTCCTTGATATAGTTATGTTTCTCAGAAGTGTGGGACTCTTCTCACATCCCTGCATACATGTCAGGGAGTGGAGCAAAAAAATCAGCTTTCTGGTTCTGGTGCAGTAGTGCAGCAAATGTAATGCTTACTTGCAGCACTTTTTATTTTGCTTTTGCTTTGGTTGGCTCCCAAGCAATCCTTTTTATGATGTTTCATCCTTTATATCTCTCCTCCTCATTCTCAGTTCTGTTGGTTTTTGTTGCTCTTTGGAGCTTTGATTAACCACACCAGCTTTGTGCTGCAGAATCGCACTCAATGAATGGCAAGGGGTATGATTTATTTTCTGAGTCACTGCTCAAAAGAGAAACTTGCATCAATCAAAAACCAAACAAGGGAGTGTGACACCACAAAGCGATATGCTGGGAGGAGCTTATAGCAAAAAGGACAGGTGGTCTTTGATAGCTGACTTACATTGCAGGTCACTAATCACAGAGATTAGCAGCAAGGTGATAGACAGCGCCTGTTCTGGGAGGCAGCATGTCATATCATCCAATTTTCTGTCAAAATGTGAGGGTTTAAACAGTACAGATAGCTTTATGTACTCCCCATATAGTTATGGCAACAGGGTGATGAGAAAGCTAGAAGAGTGAAATATCTTGTCTGCAAGAAAACGTGAGCATGAGCTGTGGTGGGTTGATTCCACGTCCACCTTTGTGCTGAAGGAAGCAAAAGGACTACTTTTCACTTCTCATTTGTTTTCCTCTGCAAAACTGCCTATGCAGAAATGGCATTATTTTACTTGGTTTTTTTCTTCTTGAACTCAATCTCATTTCACTGCTTAGGGAAATATTTTTCCCTGTTTTTTATTGCTGCTGCCCCTTGTAGAATGAGCACAGCCATAGGATGCT